CTTTATCCACTGTTTAAAGTCTTCGTCAGACTCCCATTCAGTCCTATATTTTTGAATGTAGCTCTTTTTCTTGAGAGGAACATCCATGATATTTCCAATAACTTTCCAAGAACTCAAGACTCTCAATTCACCTTTAAAACTTAACAAAAATGAAAAATGTAAGAACTATCCACGCGTGAGAGGCTACGGCTAAACAAGAACAATGCGATCTATCGTTTCGACTTTCGGTACTATATGAGTGGAGTTGGGGAAACCCCGATCATAGATTACAACTGCGGCGCGGAGAGTGAGCGGACCGCGGTAGTGTTGCCTTCTCAGCAAAAGGCGGTAACCACATGTTTCTTTAAAAGAACTTAGTAGCTAACAAAAATTACCAGAAGTAGTTAGAAGTAGCTAGATTCGTTTTGGTGGCTAAAATTGATTTTTTTTGGCTAAAACCTTTGAAAATCCGCTAGATCTAGCCACAAAGTGGCTAAAACGGCAACACTGGCGCCGTCGCTTCACCGCCCCGCCTCCCGCGGAGGGAGAAGCGCCCACGACAGCGCTACCTAGACGAACGCAAGCATTTATTTGAATGTATGGGTATTATATGGATAGATACAGTAAGTGTTATCTCATTATGGTCAAGCCGACGGCACAGACCATGAAATACCTGTAACAGGTGACTTCGCTCTTCCGTAGCTAAAAGTACAGTATTATTAAGGAAATAAAGTACCTAACTAATAGGGAATAAAAAAGACGGTAAAAACATGATTTTAGTATCCTAACTTTTAATTTGATTTTAGTATCTTACCTAGTCTCATAGTATTAATACACCAATAAATCAATTAATACTAGCGCGCCCGATTAATACTCAGGAGCCCTATTTAGTTATAACGGGGCATTTCAACTTAGAACCCAGAGGTGACAACAAGAAAGCAAATATATTTTGACTCTTAATCGGGGGTATATAATGATGTCTGTGGGTCCCAGCATCTCCATCGCGCGCAGATTGACGACTTCCAGCCTCCCGAACAAGCCGGTTTCCGAAAAGGCTTTAGCACCATAGACCACATACATACCCTTCGGCAAATTGTACAGAAGTCCGAGGAGTACAATTTGCCACTATGTCCGGCGTATGTGGACTATGAGAAAGCCTTTGATTCCGTCGAAATTTGGGCGGTGCTGCAGTCCCTTCAGCGATGCCAAGTTGACTGTCGGTATATCGAAGTGTTGAAGTGCTTGTACAGTAGGGCTACGATGGCTATCCGAGTACAGAACCAGAGTACGAAACCTATCCAATTGCAGAGAGGTGTAAGACAGGGTGACGTCATATCCCCGAAACTCTTTACCGCTGCATTGGAAGATGTTTTCAAGCTTCTGGACTGGAAAGGATACGGTATCAACATCAATGGCGAGTACATCACTCACCTTCGATTTGCCGACGATATAGTCCTTATGGCAGAATCGCTGGAGGACATAAGCACTATGCTCAATGACCTCAATAGTGTTTCCCAACGGATAGGTCTTAAGATGAACATGGACAAAACAAAGATCATGTTTAATGTCCATGTCACACCTATGCCGGTAGTTGTTGGGAACACTAAGCTCGAAGTTGTTGACGAGTATGTTTACCTGGGACAAATAGTCCGACTAGGTAAATCCAACTTCGACCGAGAGGTCAATCGACGGATTCAACTCGGTTGGGCAGCGTTCGGGAAATTACGGCACATCTTCTCGTCAGGTATACCTCAAAACTTGAAAACGAGACTGTACACCCAGTGCGTGTTGCCAGTGATGACATACGGAACTGAGACGTGGTCCTTCACTGCTGGCCGGATGAGGAAGCTCAAGGTCGCTCAGCGAGCTATGGAGAGGGCTATGCTCGGAGTTTCTCTGCGTGATAAACTCAGAAATGAGGATATCCGCAGTAGAACCAGAGTGACCGACATAGCCCAACGGATTAGTAAGCTGAAGTGGCAATGGGCCGGCCATATAGCTCGAAGAACCGACAACCGATGGGGAAGAAAGGTTCTCGAGTGGCAGCCTCGTACCGGCAGGCGAAGTGTAGGGCGTCCCCCCACTAGATGGAGTGACGACTTGGTAAGATATGCAGGAAGTCGATGGATGCAGGTGGCTCAGGACCGTGCTTTGTGGCATTCTTTGGGGGAGGCCTATGTTCAGCGGTGGACTTGTGAAGGGCTGTAATGATGATGATGATGAGGTTAAGATTGTATATTGGTTTTTAGGCTTTCACGGTCTTCGTAGCTGAAGAAAATTACTATACGGACGTTAGGGTGGGTCAGTTTGACCTTACTTTTGACATAAAATATTTTGATATTTCTATAAGAAATAAATAAGGTTTTTAAGGTATATCTGTATCTAACATTATTAGGCAATGGTTATAGAATAAAATAACTACTCTTAATAAAATGTAAAAGCCGACTTAGATTAAGGTGGAAGCTCCAGGGAGGCCCGCGAAATTCAAATTTTCTTACGTATTTTGGAATTTGCAGGTCAGGGTCAGGTTGTATGTTTAATAAAATGTGATTCGCGACCGTAACGAGTACGTAGATTTACAGAATTATAATCATTATAATCATCAGTACAACCCTGTAAGTTCGTATAATTCCATTGTATGGCTATATCCAGAAAAACTCATTCAAAAGAATTATATGATCTTAGAGGGTTGTATTGGTGATTTTAATGACAATAATTCTGTAAACACATACTCATTATGGTTGCGAATCATATTTTGTTAAACATGCAACCTGACTCTGACCTGCAAATTCCAAAAAACGTAAGAAAATTTGAATTTCGCGGGCCACCCTGGAGCTTCCACCTTAAAATAATTATCGTATAATAGTTTCAAAAGTCGGTGCCAAGACATAGAGTATAGAAGTATTAATTCCTCTACTTCTGAAGCTATTGCACGAATTTTTTTTTTTATGGTTATTTTATGGCGGCTTTTAATGTTTATTAAGTCTGTTTTTTACCCTTTTGAGTGGACTAAGAAAATTAAAAAGCTCGAATGTCGTATAAAATATGTAGTGTAATTAAAAATTTCATCGCCTATTTTTTCACCCTTAGGGGTAAGGAATTTTTATAATCTAATAAAACTTTCTTAACATAAGTTATCACGTGTGACAGCGTTAATCCACTCACATCTATTTCTTGGCATTATGAAAATAAAAAAATATAACTTTACTGCAAACGAGGCATTCCATCTTAGTCCTCATTGGCGGAAACGTATCTGCATTTTGATTCTTTATTGAGGATAGATGTAGATGTGTACGGGCCACAGCAACCATTTACCATCAGGTGGACTGTGTGCTCGTTTGTTACCATTATTCATTACATCCCATCTTTAGTTCACTATCGAACATAGGTCTCTTCCTTATATTGTCTCACACGGGGGATATTTGCCATAGTTGCCGCGCTTAACATGTGGGTTGGCAACAGCAGTTAAATCTTTATATGTATATAAAAATTACGTGCCACATTGTTTGTCCGCGATGAACTCCTAAACTACTGAATTGATTTCAATAAAATTTTGCATACTGTGTGCAGTTTGGTCCAACTTGTGAGATAGGATAGTTTTTATCCCGATAAGTGACCTGCAATTTTTTTATTGCTAGTTTCAGGAGTTTTTTTTTTTGGAAAAGCAAATGGTCTTTTGGAAAGGGCAGAACAACGTCTGTCTGGCCAGCTAGTATTACTATAAAATGTTATTATACGTTACTCACCATAACAAACACAATTCGTATTCTATAGGTGTCTATGGGACACAGCATCCATTTACCATCAGGTAACTGTGTGCTCTGTTTGTCACCCTTATTCTATATTAAAAAAACATCTAAATGCGGGCATTGTGTGTGGATTACCTTTAGATTACCTTCCTTTCCACGTCGGGTATACGATTAGTCTGCTAACAGTCTAGTCCATCAGTCTGGTCCGACTAACGCAAAATCGATTGCGTAATTGTAGGACTGATGGACTAAACTGACGAATTTTTAAATAAAGATTTCTTATATTTACGCGAACACTACACATTTAAATAAAACTAGGGTACGTGAGGGTAATATAGTCCACCTTAAGCTTTGCCGCCTTATAAAACCAAAACTAGGAGGAGGACAGAAACAAATACACAATGTCGTATACTACTTATAACTAATATAGAAAAAATAACAAACAAGTAGTTTTTTTAAGTAGATTTTTCGAAGTGTTCCTAATTATTTCCAAAGCTTGTTTGCTATTTTTTTCTTAATATATTAGCTATAGTATACGACTTCGTGTTTTTGTCTCTGTTCTCCTCTTAATTTTGGTTTTATAGGGCGATAAAGCTTAAGGTGACCATATTACCCTCACGCACTTACTATAATATTAACTATCAAAATGGCGTTGATAAAGCGGCGGCCTTTTGACCCTTTATTATTTGAATGACTGATGAAGAGCTATCGTATCGCAAAGCCATCTATGCAAATTAGCCTGTAGTTTTCGAGTTATAAGAAAGTGACCATATTAACCGGATGACCATATTACCCTCACGTACCGTAGCTTTACGGATTTTATCGCGTATATTAACTTATTTTATATTCCCGACGTTTCGAGCACTTTACAGCACCCATGGCCACGGGGGGACTGAGGTGTATGATGGTGTATGACGTTCCAATGTCATAATTAACCACGCCTACCTCCAGAATTTTTTTTATGGTTAATTATGACATTGGAACGTCATACACCTTAGAAATTTATGTATGTGAACTGTACGATAGATGATACGAAAGAAAATCTTAGTGCGGGGGTAACGCTTTTGTAAAAAGAGACTAAAAGACTAAAGACTAAAATACTCGTAGACAACGTAGGTTAAGCACCGAGTGCCTTCAATGAAGCACGATGTACCTATCTGTAGGTACATGTGTCGTGCTTCATCGAAGGCAATCGTTGTTATTTCTAGCGGAGTCATGTTTTAATCAACTTAATGTGAATGTATTAGATTTATTTGAATAAAAATAAAACACCCTTGATCCACAGGTCGTCTGCCAGCACGTCGGCGAGTGTGGCGAAGCCTGCGTCCGCGAGCTGCGTGTTGCCGCAGAGCGTGATGCGGCGCAGCCCGGCCATCGCGTCCAGCTCCGGCAACCGGTACCGCAGCGTATGCACCCAATTCTCGCTGTACCGATGAATTTTTTGGTACTGCGGAAATCAACAAATTTATATATTTATATAGTTTTTAAAATTAACCCAGTGACTAACAGAACGCATTCCAAAACGCCGACACGCAGCCTTTCTATCAGTCAATAAAAACTAAAAGTAACTAAAAGTCAATCTATTTATTGAAAACATAAAATATTTTTAATATTGATATGATCACTGTAAAATGTTGTTAGGTTTGCTAATTACGTAATAACTTAATACAGAAGGACCTTAAGTAGGGACTGAATAAATTAACCGACTTGGTATTACATGGATCTCACAACATTTTACGGTAGAAGAACTGAGTTGCGAGACTTGTTTTTTTTTTACAAGTAAACACTAATTGTATACTAAATTTGAAGCTTCTATGTCTTCTAGAAGTGCCTTAGAGTTTTGATGATCGGTCAGTCAGTGAGTGACAAAATTAAGAAATTATGACTAGTTATAATTCTTAAACTACTGGTTCAAATTGAATAAAATTTGAAATGTACCGTGTTTATACAATGCCTGATTTTATTATTAAAAATTCTACTATTATATATTATCTACATCGAAGTTATAGGGGATCGAAAATGGCCTGAAATGCTTCGAGAAAAGGATGGTACGGCCGTGCCGGTTTTTTGCTCGAATTAGCGGGGGCACTGCTGTGCCCCCAGATTATGCTATTATTTTTATAATATTTTGTATATAAGTAATACATATTATTATCATAAAGCAGCTAACAAACGGGTGAACATTTTCGAAATGAAAACAATTCCCATTATATTAAAATGCGCATTTTTTTTTAAATAAATTTAATTCCCAATATTGTCAGACGAATTCACTACCTCGTATCATCTCTTTTATGTCACAAGAGGTGACTGAGGGAAAGTGAAACAGGAGATAGGCATCATCATCTTCCTGATAACGCGCTATCACCATCATTACAGCTCAACACAACCACCGCTGAACTAAGACCTCTGGACTTTAGATGGGAAAAATGATATTGTACAGACTATATATACACTACAGACTAGATACTCGTAATCATATAGCTTTTATTTTTGTACGCAGATTTAAAAAAAAAATTAAGTTCGTTTTTTCTCTAAATGTAACGGATTTTTGCATTAAATAATTAAATAAATAAAATTTACATACCAAAGAACTTTATTTTTAAATATCTTTCTTTATTTAAAAAGACTTTTATCCTACAAGGATACCTCAGCCTTATATTAACACGTTTCTATTACACAACAGCTATATAGAAAGGGGGAAACAATGTGGTAAGAATATGGAAATGAATGATTTTGCTACCGATGAGTGTGGCTCCGTAAGTATACTCAAAAACCAACCCGTTTCACACAAATTTATATTAAATTATTGCACCAGATTCTCCCTTTGATATTTGACACATTCTGCTGGAATATGTTGTACATCTTCTATAATGTGACATAGACATATAAGAACTTAATGTAACTAAATGTTGGCAATGGGAGGCGACTGAGCTTTTGCTAAAGCGGGATTATGATCAATCTGGTTTTCAGACACTCCTGTAATGGGTGATGTGACAATTGTTGGTTCCCAAACTACCTAATATTTTACGTTAAGCACTAACTCGATCCTATTTATCTGCTATCAATCTTATCCACATCTTTACTAGGTGGTGAGATCCCTTTTCTGCCTAAGGGTCATACCGTTCCGACTGTGAAGGCAACACCATCTCACTTTTTTCTACCGCCAAGTTCCGGTTTCAAGGGTATAGGCAGCCAGTATAATTACACTATGTGAGATATTCCATCTTAGTCCTCAGATGTAGCACTATGCTGCAGCTATATTAGTAGTATAGTTGTAGCACGAATGGGTCGGCTCGACCGTGTTAGGACCACGCTCTCACAGAATAACAGCATAAAATAGCAGCTTAACGCTGCTGTGTTTCGTATGGTGTGCGTGTAAAGAACCGGAGACCCTTTTTACTGGAAAAGAGGCATTCCATCTTAGTCCTCACGGTTGACAACGCATCTGCATTTCGTTTCGTAGTCGGGGATAGATGTAGATGTCTATGGGCTACAGTAACTACTTACCATCAGACGGATTGTGTGCTAGTTTGTTACCCTTATCCTATAAAAAGAATCTACAGTCATCTTCGTTAACTGTAAGTTCCTTTGTCACTTAAATAAAAAAAACACACACCTTTATCAAATCAGCTAAATAACTGGCCCCAAGTGGCGTGATCTCACATCCGGACAGATCAAGGGTAAGAATGTTGGGGAGACACCGCACCGCTTTGCAGATTGCCAGGCAACCCGCGTCACCGATGAGGCACCGTGGTAGATATAGATGCTGGAGGGAACTGTTCATAAGCAGCGCCTGTAATTTAGGAATCATAAACAAAATATAGGGTAAACCAAGGTATAACTGGCCACTACCAATAACTAGCCACTTGGTACTTTATCTATTTGAAATTAGAATAATGTTTTATTAGCGCCATTTATGAACGTATCAAACAAATGCCTTGTCATTCACCTTTCATAGTAGTTCAACTTTTTTCGCTACGAATACTAGCGCCAAAGCAAACGACCATTTACTGAAAGTCGGTGTACGTGTCCCGACATGTAAGTTACTTCACTACGTAAATGTTAGTGGCTAAGTATATACAAATTTTAAATTATTAGTGATAATATTTGGCGGTGGTGAAAGAATCGCATATTTCTACATCTTTGCTTGGTGAGTTATATGAATCTTTATTTTAATTCTAAGAAAATCTTAAATAAGCAGTTATTGGAAGGGTAGCTAGTTTCTGAAGTATTTTTTTGCATGTTTTTAGTTATTAGCCACCTATGCCAGTTACTAAAGTTTTACCTATTATTCAAATTTCTTTAAAAATAACTCGTTGTTATGATGTTTATAAGGTGTAGTATTGTGTATTTTCTTTTTAGCAAAATTAGTCGACTCTGATCAGTAACTGGCATAGGTGGCCAGTTCGTGGCCAGTTACTAATCTATTTTCTTATTTTTTTTAACAGTTCATTGAAGTGTTAGTAAAATGTCTAAAAACGACAATACGGCAAAGAAACAATAGATAAGGCTCTAAAATTTATTGAGAATAAAGAGGGTTCAATTCGAGAGGCGGCAAAACAGTTTGGTGTGCCCAGAAGTAGCCTCCAATTTAAAATTAATAATCCTGACACAAAGTTTAAGTCTAGACTAGATCCAGTGCTAACTGAGCTGAAGAATACAGTTTGTGACTTCATCATACAACTATCAAAGCGTGGCTTCCCAAGAAAGGAAGAGCATATCCAATTATGTGTTCAGAATTTTTAGAAAACATTAGTTTTATTAACGTTTCCTGTTGCTGGACACGTCTTTTGACCAATGATTATAGATAATATCCTTATATACGGATACCTGACCGAGTTTCACTGAGTGTGCCATCTGATTGGGGAATAGGGCGAAGCGACACAGGTTGGATGACTGCAGCAGTTTTTTATGATTATATCTCTGTCTACAACCACAAATTTTAGAAGGCAATATCCCACTTCCTGTAATTCTGTTTTTCTATGGACACAGATCCCATATAACTATAGAAGTATCAGAATTATGCCGCCATCTTCAAACACATCTTTTCGCCTAATAAAGGTTGCTTGGAAGAAGGTACTGCGCGATCGGTGCGCTGTGAATAATGACCAGAAGAGTCTGACCAAAAATCCTTTGCTCTACTGTTAAAAATAGTTGTAGACTCGTTTTGTAAGAAATATACATTAATAAATGGATTCAGACGAATAAGATGACGAATGAATAAGATGAGAAAAACCCTAGGAAGATTCTTGATAAATTTACAGGTGAGCTAATAAATAAAACCGAAGAAAGAGAAGATAATAGAAGGAAGTGTACAGTAAGCCGCATACTTCAGAATAATTTAATAGAACGTAGTCTCGCTCCGCAGCCTAGCACGTCAACACAAATCACATATTCTAAGGTTTCCATAATTTCTAATGTGTTCATAATCTCTAACTGAATATTTGAAAGAGAAGTTACAATTTTCACCTAAACGCCAAGGAAAGCGTGGTAGAGCCATGCTGCAGCTATATTAGTAGTATAGTTGTAGCACGAATAGGTCGGCTCGACCGGGGAACGACCACGCTCTCACAGAATACCAGCGTAAAATAGCAGCATATGGTGAGTGTAGAGAACTGGAGACCCATTTTACTGGAAAAGAGGCATTCCATCTTAGTCCTCACGGGTGACGACGCATCGACGCACTTACTATCAGGTGGACTGTGTGCTCGTTTGTCACCCTATCCCATAAAAAATAGAAAGACTGCCATCTACTTTAACTTCAGACCAATACGTGGAAAAAATAAAAGCAAAACAGTTAAAAAAGGAAGAAGAAGCTGCATAACAGAAAAGAAAGAGACTACGAGAAGAAAAGAAAAAGGAAAAAGAAAACATTATATCTAAGAAGAAAATCAAGAAAAAGTGACGGAAAAAGCAAAACAAAGATAATTAAAGAAAATATATGTAAAGGAAAGACTGAATATACATATGAAGTTAATGAACAATTAGTTTTTTGTGATTTTTGTTCGAATCTCATTACACGTAGCGTTATTGAATGTAACCAGCGTAGAAAACAGTTTCCTTTTAATTGTATTCCATCATATCACAGACTCCATGTACCTGTGGAAGATGAGGATCAGGTTTTGTGCCACATTTGCTATCGAAAGAGTAATACTGATTCATCTGACGGTGATTGTGATGCCATTTTCGGCTCTGCTTGTGAAGAAGCACGAAAGCAAAGCTTCGGTTCAAGCTTTATGCTATTAAACTACATTAATCTTAGATTCGTTGATTTGTTGTTCGAGTGAATTAAGAAAGTTCCTATGTCGTATTATTTTTGATCTCATATTAATATTACGGGTAAAGTTTTGATTTATTGTCTAACATAATGAATGTTTTGTTTAAAGTTTATTTTTTATATAGATGAAACTGAGGCCTATTTCATGTGGCCAATTAATAGTTTGATGACGGCCAGTTTCTAAAATTAGTGGCTAGTAACTACCAAAAATGATAGTTTTTTGATTTTATTAAAATTTGATACCAAATATTGTTTTGTTTTACTTTTAAAACCCTGAATTATATAAAATAATGTGCACATTATTGTGTGGCATTGCAAAAAATTTAATATAATAACTCATTTTGACATAATTAAAGTCTGACTTGGTGAAAGTGCTTAAGTGGCCAGTTACTGGTGGTTTTACCCTACCTATTACTATTTCTGATTCTATCGAGCTTTTGGTGAATTGGCGAAATTAAATAGTTTCCTATTGGTTTTTCGAGTTAAAGATATATTTTTTTTAATATTTACATAGTATTCTCATCTGGTTGAGATGTATAAATATACATAAAAATAAGATACAAATTCAATTATTATTATTTCATTTGGGACGGGTCACAGATCTTACCTCGGTAACGTTCCGCGAGACTTAAGCAAGCGACGCGAAAATCACTTGAATGATCGATCAAAAAGTTTATAAATGTAATAGAAACAGAAACTTTTTTATTCAATATCTTTATATATAAAAATTACGTGTCACGTTGTTTATCCGCGATGAAGTCCTAAACTACTGAACTGATTTCAATAAAATTTTGCACACTGTGTGCAGTTTGGTCCAACTTGAGAGATAGGATAGTTTTTATCCCGATAAAAACTATCCTATCTAGGTAGATAAGTTACCTCCAATTTTTTTATTGCTAATCTCAGGAGTTTCTTTTAGGATTGCAAATGGTTGTCGGAAAGGGCAGAACAACGTCTGCCTGGTCAGCTAGTAGATTATAAATAATATTATTGAAAGTCACTTTTTTGTTTAATTACCACTGGTTCGAAAAAAAAACCTCTGTCGTGGGAAGAACCAGCAAGAAACCCAGCGGAACTTTTTTTTAAATAACAGCTTACAATCATGTATGGCACACAATTAACAACACAGCAAATTAGAAATAGCTTGGTAGCGATCACCTTATTCCCAGGGGCTATTATCATCCATAAATTGCTTAATATTATAATAGCTAACCCCTTTTATACAAACTTAGTTTAATAAATTTTTTGAACTTTGAGCAGGTCAAATTTTGTATATTTTCTGGAATTTTGTTGTAAAAGCGTATATCTACATCGCCCCGAGAATGAATTACTGACTCGGTGGAGTCGAATAACTTGTACTGCTAGTTTGTGTCTGTTCCTAGTATTTGCAGAATGAATATCACTTATTTTTGTAAAACTATTTTTATTTTTGTGTACGTACATTACAATTTCGTAAATGTATTGAGAAGCCAAAGTTAACATATAAATTTCCTTAAATTTTTGTCGCAGCGACTCTTTAGGATTTAAATTATAAATTGCTCTTATGGCCCTCTTCTGTAAAACAAATATCATTTCAGTGTCAGCTGTGTATCCCCATAGGAAAATACCATACGACATTATGCTATGGAAATAACTAAAGTAAACTAGTCTAGCTGTTTCAACACTGGTATGACTTCTAATCTTTTTTACAGCATATGCTGCAGAACTAAGTCTGCTTGGTAGTTTTGATATATGGGGGCTCCATTGAAACTTCGCGTATAGTGTGATTCCAAGAAAAATGGTTGTATCTACAAGACTCAGTTTGTCCCCATTTAAAATTACATTAGTATTTAATTGTTTGACATTTGGAGTCATGAATTTCATACATTTCGTTTTAGTGCCATTTAAATGCAAATTACTAACATTGAACCAATTTACTAATTTAGATATGGCATTATTTACTTCGTCATATTTTAGTAATTGTCGACTTAATTTGAAAATTAAAGAAGTGCCATCTGCAAATAATACTATATCATGGTTATCCCCTACTATGTAGGTAAGTCATTAATGTATACAAGAAACAGAAAGAGGCCGAGAATTGAGCCTTGAGGCACGCCCATTTGTACCATCGACTCGTATAATTTATTTGCAAAAAAGTAGATATAATTTATAATATACATAGCCGCTAGGCGCCGATGAGGGGCTGGCCCAGGGCATTGTCGACATTTAAATCGCCACTGGTAGCAAGGCTTCAGAATCACTCATTTTCTTCTTTGTCTGTCTGTCTGTTTGTCGTTGTGGGTGGAATCTTGAACCAAAAATTTCGAGCACTTCCCGATGAGCTAGAGACTTGAAATTTTTAACATAGCTCAGAATTGGATGACCACGGAAGACAATGTAGGAATATGAAAAAAAAACGTGGCATATTATTATTTTTTAGTACAAAAAAATCTCTTTTATTTATTTTTCAGACATGCATGTTTCCTCACGAATATTTCCTTTACTAAATGATTTTGAAAATCTGCACTTAAAATTGTAATTAACTATTGCATTATAACAACCATAGAACCCGTTACCGTTACAGACTATTAAAGTCCACTGCTGAACGTAGGTCTCCCCCCATTTTAGGAATTTTTATTTTTAGTCGTTATTAGGAAGAGACGCTGCTCCCCATCTCCTGATTTGTTTCCCTCTATCGCTTCTCACGAGATGATGGGATAGTGGATATTCTTATACCGCCTCTACATGGTGAACCCGGCTTGTTCGTGTACCATAAAATTTACGTCGACTGCTTAACCCTGAGCTAACACGGCTAATTAATGTGATTTCGATAAATTTCACGTGATTAGTTTTAGTTGGGCTTTGTTATATTGTAATTTTAGATTTTTATAAGTAATGAAGCAGTAATACCTCGCAAAGTGGATTCAAGTATGGTATTTTCAAGGGCAGTCCTTCAAGCAGCAGCGACGACAGCAGCGTCGTACCGGAAAGCATTTGCGCAACCGCTTCCATCAGATTAGTGAGCATAAAGTTGGTGAGTATCACTGCGCGCTTCGTAACAGTCTTCGCTAACCGCTCGCAGTATATATGCTCCAACACTGAGTGCCACAATTACGGGTTACTTTGATAATAAAAAATTTCGGATGCTATCATCTAATTTGACAGCAATTTTTACTTCGAATAGAGAATAACGGCTAAATACTTAAGTAGTAAACAGTAGGTAATTGCTTTCCAAGACACAGTGCAACCTCGATATAACAAATCGGAAGGGAACAAGTAAATATTCGTTGTATCAAGTAATTCGTTGAACTGAGGTTTGTTATGTTGAGGTTAGGTTGGTCTAAAATTCGTTATAAAGAGGTAGAGAGGTAGAAAGAGGACAAAAGCGTGTCGAAACCTGTCGCGACATGAATCACATACTATGAGATTAAGAGTTTGGTGGAAACTTTATAAAAAGGTTTTGGGTTGACAAAATTCGTTAATTAGAGGTATTTATACTTTTTCATGATAGTTGAAAATTCGTTATAAAAAGGTTGTTCGCAAAAAATGTTCGTAATGTAAAGGGATATTTTACATTGACTCTTATGGACAATTCAAGGGGATTACGAAGAATTTGTTAAATCGAGGAAGTCGTTATATTGAGGTACGTTATATTAAGGTTGCACTGTATTTACGAAATACTCGTTTTAGACTTTGTCGACATTTTACGCGCAGCGTTTGGTTACTACCAGGGCTGTCAACTACACACATTGTTATTATAATGCCCATATTTTTGTCTATGCGCCATCCTATCCTTAATGAACATATTATAGTGACGTAGTACTATAGATAAGTAACGATTAGTGAGCTGAAATAAAAATTTGCTCGAAGAACCGACAACCGACGGTTGTTGAGTGGCATCCCTGTACCCATACCGCTAAGTAAAGTGTAAGGCTGCCCCTCCATTGAATGGTATGATGTCCTGATAGGTCATGCATATGGTTCAGCTATGGACTTGTGAAGGGCTGACAATGGTTTTCGCTTTATAGTAGTAACGCTTTAAGCTTATGTGATATGACCACATAAATATTTAGACGCAGTAGACATACAAAAATACCAATATCTGCGTTTTTGCCAAGTTGATAGATTGAAAACCAGCGTGAGAGTTACCAGAGGCTTTTAATCCACGAGCTGCGATGCAGTAACTCCGCGTTCTCGGGTGGCAGCACGACAATCTTCAAAGTTATTGACTATACCACAAGTTCTGTCTCTTTCATATCTTACCTGTTTTGACCTGCTGACGACATCGTATCGAAACTGAATGAAGACTCAAATCGCAACTGAGCGCGTTCAAAATCGGTGCCCACTCTGTATATTTTATCCTATCTACACAAAAATCCAAAACTTTCCCATTGTTCGTAGGTAAAACATTGTTTAGTGGCATAAGATTTTGTAATTTGCAACATTTCAAATAGCACTGATGGAAAATTCTGCTACTTTTTGCATCTACACCTTTCCCGACCATACTTTTAAAAATAAAATAAAGAAAGCATCAAAAATACCACCGTGTGAGGGTAAAGTGGGTGAGTCAACGATTTATTTTATTTTTGATGATAAATAATTGTAATTGAGTAAGATGCTCTAAAATAATACTGACAGACGCCTGTTTGAAATTCGAATCAATATGACATCAAAGAGCATATAAATCACTATGTATCTAGGAAGATATGGCATTGACAAAGATGCAAACTTTTTATTTTGTCCATTAATCTGTACTATATCTATATTTTGCTCTTTTATATTTACTATATTACAGAAGTCATAAGTCAATAATTTCGTTCGCAATAAAATATACACTGACAAGTAATACAGATTAAATTTATCAATAATAATAAAGATGATTGAATTACATTCAAGTATATTTCTTTATATTTTAAAGTTAGGGAAAAGGTTTGCCAGTTGTAGATATATAAATAATATTTGTAAAAAATTATGAGTGGGTGCGATTGGCTTGATCTACGCATTACAACTTCTCATTTGATGATTAATAATTGTAAGTTCGTTTTTTTTTAAAGTTTAATGCTGCATTAATTTCAACGTAAACATAACCAGGTGTTCAATATACAATAACGAGTTGAAAAAAATTACTTTGATGTCGAAATCATTACTTGTTTAGAGAGAGTTCATTCCGGCGTAGAGTAGCCTCCTATAGGAGTATTATCTCCAAGTATATCCTATAGGATAGACTTTGGAGAATGTACGAAAGAATAACACGCCTTCCCCTTTCCACCATCGGACCAGATTGCCTGATTTAGGGGAGAGAGGGGGAATTTTGGACACTTAAGCAAAATTTCAAGAAAAACCTAAACATCAGCATTAATCAGTATCTTTTTCAATATAATTAAATTTTGGTTATATCATTACAAAATATACATAGGCATCTTTTTAAATAACTGTCCATAACCACCCGGTTCTTATAGGGTAGGAAACTAGTTGGGGTAATTACGAACGATCTATTATCCTTACAAAAATCACAAATTGAACCACCAGACAGAGGAGGACATCAGTGCGATTTTTATATTACACACATATTAACCACTCCTCTGCGGGAAGCGATACATTCAAATATCTTCCTTCTCTGCATCGTTGTCAAATTCTGATGATTTTTATATCCTTCCTTGTACTTTGTATTTCTTTCTCTTTAGGTATAACATTCACTACGTCATTCTTAAATTATCAACCGACTTCAAAAAGGAGGAGGTTTTCAATTCGTCGGAATATTTTTTTTTGTATGTTCACCGATTACTCGAAGACACATGAACCGAAGTGGTTCAAAAATTATAAAGTAAAAAAAATCGTTCAGGCAGAGGCTTCGCAATCACCTCAACGTGCGTGCGTGCGTGCGTGCGTGCGTGTGTGCGTGCGTGCTTGCATGCGTGTGTGCGTGCGTACGTGCGTTCGTTCGTGCGTTCGTGCGTGCGTGCGTGCGTGCGTGCGAGCGTGCGTGCGTGCATGTGTGCGTGCGTGTGTGCGAGCGTGCGTGTGTGCGAGCGTGCGTGCGTGCGTGCCTGTGTGCGTGCGTGCGTGCGTGTGTGCGTGCGTGCGTGCGTGCGTGAGTGCGTGCGTGTGTGCGTGCGTGCTTGCATGCGTGTGTGTGTGCGAGCGTGCGTGCGTGCGTGCCTATGTGCGGGCGTGCGTGCGTGTGTGCGTGCGTGCGTGCGTGCGTGCGTGAGTGCGTGCGTGCGTGCGTGCGCGCGTGCGTGCATGCGTGCGTGCGAGGAGGTTTTCAATTCGTCGGAATATTTTTTTTCGTATGTTCACCGATTACTCGAAGACACATGAACCGAAGTGGTTCAAAAATCGTTCAGGCAGAGGCTTCGCCAACGTGCGTGCGTGCGTGCGTGCGTGCGTGCGTGTGTGCGTGCGTGCTTGCATGCGTGTGTGCGTGCGTGCGTGCGTGAGTTCGTGTGTGCGTGCGTGCGTGCGTGCGAGCGTGCGTGCGTGCATGTGTGTGTGCGTGTGTGCGAGCGTGCGTGTGTGCGAGCGTGCGTGCGTGCGTGCCTGTGTGCGTGCGTGCGTGCGTGTGTGCGTGCGTGCGTGCGTGCGTGATTGCGTGCGTGTGTGCGTGCGTGCATGTGTGCGTGCGTGTGTGCGAGCGTGCGTGTGTGCGTGCGTGTGTGCGTGCGTGCATGTGTGCGTGCGTGTGTGCGAGCGTGCGTGTGTGCGAGCGTTCGTGCGAGCGTGCGTGCGTGCATGTGTGCGTGCGTGTGTGCGAGCGTGCGTGCGTGCGTGCGTGCGTGCGTGCGTGCATGCGTGCGTGCGTGCGTGCATGCGTGCGTGCGTGCGTGCAGGCGTGCGTGCGTGCGTGTGTGTGTGTGTGTGTGTGTGTGTGTGCGTGTGGATGTATGTAACCATCTCATAACTTTGGCTTGATGGCTTGACCAATTAGAACGAACTTGGCGGCGTTTGAAAGGGCTTTACCAAACTTAGATTTTTTTAAACTAGCTGTTCGATTTGAACCCATTCGAACAGCTAGATTTTGAGGAATCTCAAAAACAAAATTTTCAAAAAAGTGCCTTTTGGAAATATCTATTAAACAGATGCAACGATCAATTCCAAAATAACTAATCTAATCAGCTCTCAAACTCAGAAAACTCCGTCGATTGCTGCAAACCGATGTTTTGAAGAAAAATCGTTAACGAAATTTTTTCGAAAAAAGTATTTTTTCAAATAACTGAAATTTTTTTCTCGGATCGTCCTTGATATAATTAAATTACGTTATAAAGTCGGTAAAATTATTCTAATTATAGTATAATAAATATTGTAATTTTTAAGTTTAAAAAGAAGAGAATAGCATTAATGTGATTAAAAATTACTTATATATGAAAGGTAACGCCATTTTTGTACGTGGTTGCAGCTATATTTAAAATATAGTTGTAGCACGAATGGGTCGGCTCGGCCGGGGAAGGACCACGCTCTCACAGAATACCAGCGTAAAATAGCAGCTTAATACTACTGTGTTTCCTAGTCCTCACGGGTGACAACGCATCTGCATTTTGACTCGCAAACGAGGATAGATGTAGATGTCTATGGGCCACAGCATGCACTTACCATCAGGTGGACTGTGCTCGTCTGTCAGTTTTGTTCTATAAAAAAAAATGCATTGCATTATAGGTGGTACTCAATTTCACTGTATGTTTTTTTATGTGTGTTACCTCATAACTTTTTTCTAGGTGAACCGATTTCGATGATTTTTTTTAAATTTGAAAGTTGGTGTTTCTTATGTGGTCCCATATAAATTTGATGAGGTCTGACCAGTAGTTTTTGAGATATCCTTAATAATTTATATTGAAGTCGGTTGTACAAAATTTTTAAGTTTACCACTTGTTGCAGCAAAAAACTGAACAATTCGACATTTTTGTAGGACCTCGATTCCGCCGCGCAACTAGATTTATTCTAGTGAGCAGTGCGGCTGCAACTGGTTTTATTGTATGCATTGCACTTATACTTTGATAGAGGGGAATGGCGCGTTTGGCTACTCCCCTCCGGTCCGCCGATGGCCCAAGTTGCTCTTTGAATTGTATTATTGTTTTAGAAAAAATAATCATAATTACCTCTATTTTTGTTTCTTTTGGGCACCAAAGTCAGTTCGTCAATAAATATTTATAAAATTGCATTACTACGGAAAAACAGAAAAAAAAATGAAATCTCGATATTTAAATGTCTGAGAATTATTCACAGTATCGATCCATTATTTAAGATCGATTAAAGATATCGCTTATCTTGAATCCAAAAATCTCTTATTCGATCTCAGGCTGCCATCCATATAATGAAAGTGTTAGGAAAGCCCGTACTGGATAGTGTCCCCCTTTTCCCAAAAGAGGGTCGCTTCCGATTCGACAGAAAGGCGTCATAAGCCAATGCCATTCCCACAGGTGGTGTCTAGTGGGTACATTTAGGGTGGTTAGGTTAGGTTAGTCACAGTGAGTCGCTCATAACCACGACAGCCGGCTGTCGTGGTATGCATAAAGCATTCACCATCTCCTCGCGTTAACGGGGTAGCCCTTTTCAATTGCTTCTGGGCGTAAAAAAGTAGATAGTGTGCATGAACATGAAGTAGGGCCTGCCACCGTTGATGGTTTGTGCAGTGGTACGGACCGTTTCCCGCACCTTTTTCAGGACAGCAGCGCAACATGGAGGCTAGCGTGCACAGTCAATTAGTACGGATGTTGTAGCGATCAACTAATGAACATTAATTTATTACAGCCTTTTAAAATCCACACAACGCCCTCCCGCATAGACAGCCTTATAGAGGGATTTAGGGATTTTGCCATAGTTGCCTCATTCGGCAGACTGGTTGACTACCTCAGTTTTTTTTATCATTTTCAGGTATAATTAAAAATGGTGTCTATGTCCTAATTTAGTCTCTCTGTGTCGCATTTAACGACACCCACGGAACGATATGGGGGGATTGTCTAACGCCACCACTATACGGCGGCTAATGTATGCTATTATTTTAATATAGTATTAAGTGGTAACACCAATTTGAAAAAACTGTGACAATATAATACAGTGAAACAGACAAAAGCAATATTGTAAGTAATTTCTCTACTAAATTCTTTCCTCCAGATAAAAGGCTAACGAGCATTATAATTATTATTGCGCCCACGATTCGAAATAGGTGAACATTATTTATGTTATTTTCTATTCATAGAACACATTGGTTGGATTGGACGTAAAAAGTATTAAAAAACGTGTTCCTCATTAAATTGTTCTATTTTTCCCGTTGTTTGAAACTTACACTGGCATAATTTTTTATCATATCATGACTCCTTATTCCAAAATGCAGTGCCTCCGAAACTTAACCGACGCAGGCAGTAGGATATTTTCGAATATAGCTTGAGTTCAAGTAAATAAAATAAATTAGTAAAATGGACTTTTGGAAAACTTTTTGTCCAGACACGACCAGCTCAATGATGAAATGAAGTAAATTGGATATAAAAAGTGAATAATATTTTAAAAAGT